AATCCCCCCCCCCCCCCCCCCGCCCCCCTACTTCTACACTTCTCTTGTGAACTTCCTCTTACTCATTAAAATTATTAGTATCTAGCCGAAAGATATTCTAATGATTATGACGAAATATTGTGTATCAATAGCATGAATTCAGTGCTGTATCATATTAAAAAGCTACTAGCCATAGCACAAGATATATCTACCGAGAGGAAAATTTCCACAAAACTAGAATTGCTAAATTATCATGTCTCAATTGAAGCGTGTTCCTTGAATGTCCTTACACTCGTCGGCCTGTCCACACCTCATGTGTTTTAAAACATTGCACAAATTTAATTCCTTCACGATCGAAACTCAATACGACTCAGCTCTCATACAACTATCTTTGCTAATCCAAGCTACATAGAAAAAATAAATCATTTTTACTCAAATTATAAATATTCCATTATTAGGTTAACTAATAATGAAAATTTGATTTAATTCAGCAGATAGAAATTACTTTTTAATGTGTTGATATTATGTATAAGGGCTAAAAATGAACGTCCGTATTTTTTCTTTTTACTTTTTGAAGTGATTAGACAAATATATATATATATATATATACACACTTGAGAGTTCTCTAATGTTGTTAAAAATGATAAGAATTCCTAACAATTGCATATTCTTGTTGACAGCGTCACTCTCTTAATGATTTTTTTAGATTTATTTTCAAAGAACCACGTGCTTGACATTGAGGACAAAAGATGATAAAAAGATAATTAGTACGTTTCCAATCCTATTTTCCAAAAAATGTATCAATATAATAAAATGTAATTTTACGATTAATCAAAAGTCTTAAAAGACGCCTCCATATTATTTTTTATTCATTATTAGTGCAATGATTATTTGATGCACAACTTTTTAATATGATTAGTGTGACGCAACACGTTTACATAATAAAAATTAAAACCTTTTTCTTTAAAACAAAAATAAAGTACATATCAAATTTCATATAAAGATAAAAGTAAGCCATACAAGTCGTTCATACTAATCATTTACGAAACCACCACAACTTAGGAGGCTACAAATCGTAAGTCATGCACCTTGCACACGACCCGACTACGATAACAACTTACAAATAAAAAATAAAATAAAATAGAATGACAGAAAGGAAAAGAGAAATATAAACGACAAACTCATTAGTATGGGATCACACTTCCCATAGCGTGTCTATATTTCAATAGCACAATACATATGCGAGAAATGATCTATCAAATATCGATGTTTAACTTATTCCAAGTGTCGATAATATGACATATCAATTTATTAATATAAAATATTATTGAGACCCATGATAAAATTATCTATCAATATATCACGTCATCGTGCTTAGTACATGACTTTTCATACATATATTAGGCACACATAGTTGCATGGCTAATTAAAGCAGCTATTATTTTAGGTGAAACATAAAATCGAAGCCTCATGCCAAACCCTATATGAACACATAAAAACTTAAAGTGACGCCGTATCTAGCTTAACCCTCAAAATTCCCATGCAAGTAGAATTTGGACAGCTCAAAGCAAAATGTCAAAAATCCATTAATGCTCAATTTCCAGAATTCCGTAGTTTTTGTGCCTATATATACTCTGCTCACGAAAATGAATTAATCACTTCTCATAGTTATAAGCAGCTTAAAATCTTGAATTACCAAGAATTTCACTTCAAGAATCAAGAATGACACTTATAACAGCTGCTCACTTGGCTTTCACTTTTGGCATTCTTGGTATCTTTATCATAAATTCTTCTATGTTAGATCTGTACCCGTTTGAGCTAATCTTGAAGTAATTAATTTGATTTTTTTTTTTTTTTTCAGGAAACGTCGTGTCGTTCATGGTGTACATGGCGCCAGTGTAAGAGCTTGTTTTCTCATTATTTCTTGTTAATTTTGACAATACCAGAAAAATGCACTGCAACAATGAAAATCCATCAATGGACGATTTCTGGCCTACAGTTTACGTCTTTTTTTCTTGGATTTCAGGCCTACATTTTACAAGATTTATAAGAGAAAATCGTCAGAAGGATATCAGTCAATTCCTTATTCAGTTGCCTTATTTAGTGCGATGTTGTATTTGTATTATGCTTATCTGAAGAAGCATGTGCTTTTGCTTATAACCATAAACAGTTTTGGATGTGTCATGGAATTAGGTTTTCTGACCATCTTCATGGTATATGCAACACATGAATCAAAGGTTATTCTTATCCTTAATTTTCTCAAACTTTCGATTTGTGCTTTTGTCTCTTTCATACAATAAATTTGGAGTCGGCACGTGAATCCATTTAGGGCACTCCGCCCAACTCATTCATGATACTAAAATTTGATGCTATATTTTATAAATTTAAAGTGGGACATAATTTTTTTTTTCTTTTTTTAACCTCTCCATCAAATTCATAGAATTGCACTTTGATGCCACTTTTGCTCTTTCAATCACTACAAAATAAAACCTATTTTCAATACATTTGGAGCCCTAGACATGAATCCTTCCAATACATTAAAATGAAAATTGCTCTTTCACTTCATAGAATCACAAACTAGGTCTTATTCGTAATAAATTAAGAGTCTAGACACAAATCGTCCCCGATTCACTCAAACTAATATATATATATTTTTTTTGCAGATTTACACCGCAAAGATTCTCTTCCTATTCAACATAGTAGGACTGGGATTGATCATTGGATGCACATACGCTCTATCAAAAGGGCGTGAGAGAGTGACAATTGTTGGATGGATATGTTCGGTTTTTTCTCTCTGTGTTTTTGCAGCTCCTCTTAGTATTATGGTAATTAATTTTGATTGTCCCTTAATTTAAAATTATTAAATTTTACAATATCATTAGCGAAAATTTCAATAATTATTTTTGTTTAATGCAGAGGCGAGTGATAAAGACAAAGAGTGTTGAATACATGCCACTTAATCTCTCAGTTTTCCTCACACTATGTGCTGTCGTATGGTTCTTCTATGGTCTTTTCATCAAGGATTTCTACATAGCGGTGAGAACATTATAAGACTCTTCAAATTCATATATTTTATATTCTCTTTTTTGTTCTCAACAATGATCTTTTTTTTTTTAAACACAGGCTCCAAATGTTGTTGGATTTTTATTCGGAATCGCGCAGATTATTTTATATTTCATCTACAGGAACAAAAAAAAGGAAAATATTCTACCGGAAAATAAGCTGCATGATATATCGACTAACGGAGACTGGAATTCCCGAGATCACATGCAGAACTCATCAACGGTGGAGATTGCAGACGTAACTAATCACAATCATGGACAAGCCCACAGAGGAACAAACTAGGAGCCAAATGAACCTAGCAATCACAGAATTTTCTGCAGCAAGTGACACCATTTTGTGATACTCATGATAGCATTTTACATATACTATATAGTCATATAGATATTCTATAAAATAAGATGCTGACTCTGGTCGACTATAATTATGAGTTGACATGTTGAAGGGAAAGTGATAGCTTAATAATTGACTTATAATGATAGGTTGCAATTAAGAAGTTCACTGTCGAAATGTGACAAAAAAAAACTTAATTTTATTTTAATTCTGGAACCACACTACTTAGTGTGTACATGTTTCTAATGAACTATATATATTTTCTTTATTGATGGAAATAGTGAGTCTTAATGGACATGTTTCAGGTTTGAGATATTATCGACCTGAAATTTTCGGCTTTAAGTGACATGACGTTTTATTTATTTTAAATACTATAAAAAATTGTGTTGGCATTCTCAACTTTTAATACCGACACTGTCATGTTTAGCCCTTATATGATTCTTATTATTTTCAATTATATATTATTCTCTCTGGTACCTTCATCTATCTTTCTTAATGGGTTCAGAAACCACAAGTTTCTATCTTCCAAGAAAGAAAAGGGAAATAGTGAATCTTAACATACTGAGATTGGTAAACCAGACACCAATAGATGGAATGAGATGAGGTCCTACCTTTCAAAGTAACCTTAGCCCGGTAAACCC